GCTGCTTCCTCAAATAAAATAGCATTCTTTTTTTCCACTGCAATATTAAAATGTAACAAATGAACACAAATAATAGCAATAATGTACAATAACCACATGTAAACTGTTAATGATCATTTATCATTACATAAATGAACATATATCAAAATGATAATAAAACATATAAATGAACATTTATGATTACATAGATAAATGTAAATTACAGTAATTACACCTATGTTAACGTAAATGTACATATAATATAACATACATGAGCATTAATTGAATGTCAAATTTTATAAAACTATAGACAATCATTAAAATGCAGAAAACTGGAAAAAACATCAATCGAATAACAACATTACAAAGAAAAACAATAAAATCACAACAATACATCACAAACTATAAATTAAAATAATCATAAATAAAAATGAAATAAAATATTATAATCGACCATAATTTTGATTTTAATTCATACAATAAGCAATAACAATTAGCTAAACAATAAAATCAAAAATTATAATTGAGCATTATATAAACTATAGTTCATACAATTAGCAAAACTATGAAATCAAAAATCAAAATCGAACTATTACACGTGAAGAGCATAATCAAAATCGAATGATTGAGGAAAAAATTACTCACATTGTTTCGAAAACGAGTCGACTAAACCAACTCCAGCAGAAAAAATAGAATCACAATCACGATCAAAAGCAATTAAGCTAGAATCACTGTCACGATCAAACGCAATTGAGCTAGAAATTTCCATGGAAGAAGAGAGAGAAAAATTGGGGGGAAAATAAAAAATGCAGGAGAGAGAAAATGAAATAAGTAAAATATGAGATAAATAAAATGGAAATTAGGTTAAGAAAATCATTATATAGTTGCTTGAATAGAAAGTTAACAAAAATGAAAAAAGATGAAGAAAAAAAATGGCAGAATGATTCAATATAAAACGACGTAGTAGCATGGGGGTGTAGAAGAAGCTGGCTACCCTAGAGTCTAGGCAAAAATTTGTAAATAACTTGAGAAGGTATAATTGTTGAGTCCAAAGCCCAATATGAACAGGAGCCCACCTGAGTTTGGGCCACTAAGTCATTTGCATGCTGTCAAAAAGGGAGATAAGGATCACCTCTTCTAAACCCATGACTAGCTAAGTATGATTGCCAGGCAGGGCTTGGATAATCATGTGGAGCATTACTATCATTTAACACCTCATTATTCCACCCTCCCATGAAGTTCCAAGGAGAAAAATTATCAGATGCATGTGTGACACGTGGCAAAGCTCTATCTTCTTGGGATGAGATTTCTAATTGTTCACTAATTGCTCGATTAATTCCCAAATCACAGCGTAAAACCTCATTTGCCGCACTGCTATATGCCAATGGAGACTCCGGTGGGAAGAGACCTGGTATGGTGATTGGAGGAGCATAGCCAGGGTACTCCGATGAACCCGACCTGATATCCGAAGGTGACCGAGGGAGCCCCATCCTGTTACTATCATAATCAGACGGATGAGAATCAGCCGAAAACTCCGAGGGGTCATCTTCATCATGATAACCAAACCATAATTCTGTTGTCCAATTCCTAGGACATGGACGGATGTCACGAAGAGCATTTGAATATAAATCTGTATCAGTAAGCCAGAATACCACTATAAGTTTGTGTTGTTAGTTGATAATCAAATTTGCTTATTATGAAAGGTTTCATGTACCTTTTGTATTTAACAAATTATTTTTTTTTAGGTTTTCTAATGACATAATTGATTTCGAAATAAGGATCAAAGTTGGATGAATCGTATAAAGGAATTAATGATAGATAGGAAGCAACATTCATATACTATGGGGTTAGACTCGTTTTTGGAGCTTGTTTTTAGTGGTAGTGAATACGAAGCTAAATTAAGATGTCCTTATTTAAATTACAACTTTCAACTATATCACAATCGTGTTACAAGGGAATGTCACTTAATAGCTAAAAGAATAGTAAGGGATTATTTTTCATGGGTGCATCATGGGGTGAAATTGGAGCAAAACATGAGTTCTGTTGAGGACTTGAGCACGTGAGCATGAAAAATCAAGTGTTGATATGGATGTTAATAATGCTAATATTATGGTTGGTGATGACTTGACTTCTTTACTTCTTAATGCATCTTAGACGCATGGAGATACATGTAATTTTAATATCCCTCGTGATGATATTTGTGATGTTAATATGAATGAAAGGGTAGCTAGTATATGATGCCAAAGGAGTTTCAAAAATTAATGCGAGTTTAAGAATCGGAACTCGTGGATGTAAAACATTTAAGAAATTAAATGAATATTTAGTATATATAAATTTAGTCAAAATAAACACATAAGCAAATGAACACTTTTTAAAAAACTATGAACATTTAGTATATTAAAAATGAACATAATTTTTAAAGTATATCCATACAAGTTTAAATTCATTGTATATAATTAGGGATGTCAGTGGGACGGGTCAAGTAGGAGACCCGCCCCATCCCCGCCCCAGTGGGGCGGGGATGGGTCTCGGTTTGGCGGGTGGTGGGGCGGGGATGGGGATGAAAACGATACCCGCCATGGGTGATGGGGCGGGAGTGGATTTTAAGTTGTACCCGCCCCATCCCCGCCCCACCCGCCCCATCTCCACCTCATACCCACATCTATATACTTTTATATTATTTTATAAAATAATTACGTGAAGTAAATATTAATTATAATATTTGTACTACACTTATATTATAAACAAAAATGTGTGTAATATTAAGAATTTTTTTTTAATATTATAATTCGTATTAATTATGTAGGATTGTGTATTTGAGACACGGAAATTTGGTGGGTCTTGGGTGGAGATTAGGCGAGTATTTGGTGGGGATTAGGCGGGGATGGATATCCAAGTGGGGGGGGTGGGGCGGGGATGGTTTTGGAGTTGTACCCGCCGGGGCGGGGATGTGGATGAATATTAGACCCGCCGCGGGGATGGGGATGGGGATGGGGATGAAAATTTTAGGTGGGGATGGGGATGGGAAGGTCAACATCCGCCCTGCCCTGTCCCATTGATATCCCTATATATAATTATTAGCAAAACATAAAGATATATACATCTTTAAAATATGTTCATTTTTTATATACTATGTTCATTTTTAGTGTACTGAATGTTCATTTTGTATAAAATATTCAATTTTAAAGTACTGCATGTTTATTTTTATTTTTTTTTATAGAACATAATTTCAATTGTAATTGTTTTAACTGTAAAAATTTGAATATCCATTTTAAATCTAATCTTGGTTTATCATTGAGAAAATAATTAGGAAAATTTCACAAGAATAATCCGACCTTTGCCTCATTCTCCTACAATAATCCAACCTTTCAATTAACCTTGAATAATCCTAAGTTTACTATATATTTTCTTCTACCGATCCTAATTGACTGGCTACCTGAACTTTAGGTAAATTTTTTTTTCCGTCTCTTCTTCCTTCTCCCCTCTTCACCCTCATTTCATGCTTTTACCCTTTAATAATGGCTCTCTCACCTTCCTGAACCTTCTCACCACCACCTCACATCACAATCAACCTACCCCGTCAAGGCATCAACTAGCCCGCCCCACTACCCTCTCCTCTCTCCATCAAACAACCCACCACGTGCTACCCCCTTTGCAACCACCACAACCCCCACCACCACCACATACCCCACCATAACCAAACCCAGACCCGAAACCTTTCCTCCACTCCTACCCATATACTCGAACCACCAACCTCACCTAGCTGAAACCATTAAACCTTGTCCCACCCAAAACCCGAAACCCCAACCCACCTACCTAGAAACCGAAACCCCAACCCGCACCAATGTCCTTTTCTTCTCTCTCTTTCTCAATTTAATTTGGTGTTGTGTGGTGGTACATTGTTGATGTTGTGGGTGTTGTTTGCGGTTGAATTGTGGGTTGGTAGTGGATGGATGTTGTGTTGAGTGGTGAGGTGGTGTTGAGGTGGCTGTAGGTGGTGGTACAGTAGATGGTGGTGAGCCGTGAGTGGTTTAGGTGGTGATAATGGAGGAAGGGAGAGGAGAGAGAAACGGGTAGGAAGGGGAAAGGAGAAATTTTTTTTTTTAATTTTCAATTAAAAATATTATTTTAAAATTAAAAAAATTGACCAATTAAAAAGTTCCACGTGGATGGTAACCGGCTATAAAGGGTAAGGTGACCTGCTAGGGTTGCTGGAAGAAAACAATTGTAAACTTAGGATTATTCAAGGTTAATCGAAAGGTTGGATTATTTTGGGAGAATGAGTAAAAGGTTGGATTATTGGTGTGAAATTTTCCAAATAGTTATTGATCTATATAGATTAGGAATTACAAATGCAAAATTGATAAAAATCAACATTTTTACAACATTCACATATTTTTAAACAAAAAAAAAACAAAGGAAAAAAAAAAACCGAAAATTACTTCAAGTTTAGCAATTGCGGCGAAGATGATGATGATGATGATGATGGAGAATGCTACAATGGTGAGGAATTGGAGAATATCCGAAGTAAAAGGACAAATAAGTACAAAGATTAAAGGAAAGTGAGGTTTAAAAAAATAACTTTTAAACAAACAAAAGAGTAAAGATAAAATTTCAGATGGAGAGAAATTATGAGAGATAGAATTAATAGAGTTATAATTATAAAGAAAAAGAGAGAGTTAAGGTATAAGGGATAAAGGGAAAAATAAACATATGTTCATTTTTGAAGTACTATATGTTCATAATATGGGTGTAGCAGTGCAGAGAAAGAGAGAGTTAAGGTATAAGGGATAAAGGGAAAAATAAACATATGTTCATTTTTGAAGTACTATATGTTCATAATATGGGTGTAGTAGTGCAGCTAGCTTAGTTACACAAATGTGTAGCTAGGGATTTGCGCGTGGCAGAAGTGGTACAACAATGATACCAAACAGCAGTAGCAACTTGGGCTGAGCTTCAAAAGCCCAAGTGTATATGTGTAATACAGAGCAATCTCATATTCATACATAGTATAAACTAAGTTTAATTAGATTCTGCAGCAATCTAAAACTGGTCATATAGATGAGTTGATAGGTTGCATCCTTACTTCACTAATTAGAGTTTAAGTTGTACAGTCAGATAGCCTACTTCACAATGCCTCAATGTTTAATGTGTTGTGTATGTACATGTGTGCACAATATTATACACAAATTCAGACAAGGAATCTCCGAATCAGAAACTTAGATACAGCACAAACCCCAACAAAAAAAAAAGGGGGGGGGGGGGGGAGGAGATCAACAACAAGCTACACTGCCCACTAAAATCCACAGCAGGTATAGAAGGCTTCAAAGAGGAAGAGTGTCCAAAGGTTTGATAGCTGCAACACCACCAAACTCTGGCTGTATATACTTGTCATAAGTCACCTTCAAAAGACCTGCACTTGCAGCTTTGTGGATTCGGAGAATCATCTCCGCACAATCCCTGCAGAAAATCAATCAGTAAACTGCAGAAGTCATGGGGGAAATCATAAAGGTTTGACAGCAAAGCTGAATGGTGATAACTTGCCTGATTTGATGTTCCTCATGATGAGTATGCTTTCCAAGCAATGAAGTCCATCCTGGAATCTCATATAGGGTACAACGGGCAACATATACAGCTGCAGCACATAACAATGACGGTCTGAACCTCAAGGTTTCATATTCAACCAAGCATAACTCGATCAGGTAAAATGAGAGACGTTCATGCTGGAAGCCCAGGTAAAAAGTTGCTAGTTAGAAGCTAAAGATATTCTGGAAAAAGGTAAATGCAAGATTAAGTTATAAATAAATAAATAATCAACACACCCTTTTGTCTGACTGAGAAGCCTTGAGAAACCTTAGCATGAAGACATAAGCTGTTGGCAAATTCAGCCGAAATTTTAGCTTCTTGAGAATGCTCTTTTCCTGTGAATACGTTAAGCATCAAAGCCACTAGTTCACAAATATAAATATAGAAAGAAAACACAAATCAAAACTATAGTTCCCAATGGTATTAAAAATTACAGCCATAATATTCAAAATTGATCTAATGTTCCTAGTATGAATCGCAACTGGAGAAGAGAGTTTCCCAGAATCCCCTGCATAAAATATCTAATTGAACAATGGGCATTGATAGCTGTATGAATTTTCAATTGACATGTTATATTTGCCATATACTATTACAAGTAGCAAAAGTTTACCACTTCACCAAATCCAAAATCATACCATTTCAAGCATTTGCTTTCGGGTATATGATTCTGCTGAGATGCTAATCAAGTCTTTGACCTAACCCAAATAAACAATATAAGAAATTATTTAACATTAAAAGCACAAAGAAAAATATTTATTTATAACACTACCCACCTTTGGATGCCAAAAATCCTCGTACTTTGATGCAAGTAAAAGGGATGCAAGACCAATCAACTGAAATTCATTTTTCTTTATTGTAACTACTGAGAGATATCTGTCCAGCAGAGCTACTGTGAGGTAAAGTGTTTCTGGCATCAGATCAAATTTGAAGTGTACCTGTTAAAGAACAAACATGTGAATAGAATAAGATAAAGCTTAAGAGAATTGCACAAAATGGTTTCTCCGACCATTAGCCACCTACCTCTATAAGCCAATTAATTAATAAGCCCCGCATTTGTGGAGTAACATCTGTTTGAATCATCATATAATTTTCTGGTAGTGTACTCTGTGCCTGGAAAAAAATGACTAATTTCTTGTAAATAAAATGATTACTTCAAAACAAATCAATTGGAATGAATATAAATTATAACCCCTTATCAAGACCTGCCTAAAGCTAAGAAGAGCAATGATCTTTTGTAACTATCAGAGAATTCTGCCAATAAGCAATTCATGCCATCAGTTTCATGTCCGAGACAATTTCCAGTAGTAAAATATTTTTTAGGCAAAAAGTGATGGGCATCCCTTGCATACGGATAATGGAAATCAATTATCTTGTCTAAAAACATTCTTAAAGAGAAATGGCCACTGCCCAAGTCATGAAACATATAGCATGCTCAGAAGGCACTCTAGTCCAAAGCTTTCCTATGTGTTCCAAGGACCTACATCATTGTTCTTAAAAAGCCCAGGGTGATAACAATCAAAATTTCACAGTTCCAGATTAAAATAAATACATATGTTCATTAAAATCTTTACAAGATATAATTACAAATTACACCTGCTAATTGTCAGAAATTATTCCACAGGAAAATGCAGAAGAGTTCCGCAAGTTTTACATAAGCAGATTATCTTAACAGCTATGTAGCCAAAATAAAAATCTATGCTTCAAAGTACTCAGACGAAGACACTTTCAATATCAGGTTTTATAGCTGTAGCAAGTCAAGCTAGTCTATAGTCTTAGTAAGGTAGCAATTTATACAAGTTAATTAAAAATTCTGCCTAGCTGCATTGCATATTCTAGAGACTGAAATATAAATAGATACCTAAACATATCAAATATACAAAAATGGATAAGAAATTGATAAAGAGGATGACAATCACCTCCATTATCCAATAATACTCATAGATGTCATCAACATACTCTGCAACTTCAAGAGGATTACCCTCATCATCAATATTCGGCAACAGTTCATGTTCCCTGACTTCACTGCTCGATTTTAGAAGCTGCACAACTCATCCATTTTTTTGTTAAATTAGATTCTGCTAAATGCTAGTTGAGGAAATAAATAATAAATATTGGGTTTGACCTTTGATCTTGATATAAGCGAATATGTGTATGATTTTCTGCGCCCCGTGTTTTTGCTGACAGTAGTCTCTGATGACTGTGATTGCAAGTTGTCACTGTTTTTTGCTGGAATTCCTCTTCCAGCAACTTCTTCAAGAGAACCTGTACTCTTCAAAGTTTTGGCAACAGAATTGTCAACCTTCACTTTTCTGGCAGGTGTTGTACCAAATGATTTATCCAAATTACAGATGCTCTTGGATTTAGATCTCTTTTGGTCATTGGAAATCTGTAATCGGTTTCTTGCAATTGGCTGAATTACAAGATAAATGCATCAATCAGATTGCTAGGACAGAAAGAAAAATATTATAGTCTGAAGAATCAAACACAACGAACAAAGCCTCAATCAAATGCACAAATCTCAAACCCACAAATCTAAGATTATTCCTCCTTTTTAATTGTTAAACCATGTGTGTTGGGAGGAGAAGGGGGAAGGGGGGACCACAGAACCTGTTTGATTTATCCAAAAAGCCCAAGTAGGTAAGAGAGGAATTGTCAGCCAGGGGCTCAGTGCATATTGGGTAGTTGATATGTGAAAGGTTTACTAAAATAGGTATAGTGCAATTATATGCTACTTCCAGAAAAGGGCAGATGGTGAAAAGAAAAGAAAAATATTAAGGCCCTGTCAACCCCTTGTCCGCATCAAAACACAGATGCTACAATGAAAACGAATGGTTTTATTCAGTTTGGAGTAATGTTCAACAGCATCAATACTTTAAAGTTTAATATTTGCTATGTTAAGACAGAATAAGTAATACTTCCGACGTTCCCTAAATATTGCAACATGGGGATGGGACACGAATTTTAAGAAGATGAGAGAGAGAGAGAGAGAGAGAGGGGGGGGGGAACAAATATAAGGACTCGTGTTATGAGGAGAGAAAAAGAAAACATGTGCAAATAGAAACTTCCTAAAATGGTAATTGTTGCAATACTTGTGGAATGGAGGAAGTATAATGCTGTCTTTGAGTTCAACATAGAAACTGGATTTCCAGTAATAATTGATTTGGGGCACTAAGCCAAGAAAATGTGCCCCACCCACAGTTAAATGAACTAAGACTAGGAATTCAAATCTTTTACATAAAAAATCTGACCCGAAACGTAAACTGACAAATTGATTCACACGGAATGCTTATTGGTTACAAGTTTTCTTTTTTTTTTTTTTTTTTTTTTTTTTTTTATAGACAAGCTTTTGCCATTTCACTCAAGTGACATAAATATTCAGCAGATATACGCAAGAGTTGTAATCCAATCAATCAATCAAAGCCTTAATCCCATAAGTGGGGTCGGCTAACATGAACCATATTTGATTATTCCGTGTAGTCATCGACAGAAATCTTCCTCCTTCATCCCTTACGATCCAATGCTTCATCCTCGTGCAAATCCATATACTTCATATCCTTCCTAACTCCTTCCACTCTTCGAACCGGTGCACCCTTGGGTCTCCGTCTTACATGCCCAAACAAGAGCACGTGACTGACTTGAATACACACATAACAACTAATCATACTAACAGGAAAGTATCAATAACCAAAGGGAAAGAATCACCTTCCAAGCAACTCTGGTATATTAATTTCATTATGTACCACTACAGGAGTACAAGGCATGGATTTCCTTACCTTATTTGATTCAAGCACCGGTGATGGGATCAATCACTAATCAAGGTCCAAAGATACCTAAGGTCCTCAACCAAATAAATCTACTAAATTAGTAAATTACTTCTATACATCTCAGTGTTTGAAAAGGCGCGCGCCTAGGCGTTGAGGGGCAAGGCGATAGGGGGTAAGAGCTTTTTTGGGTCTGGGCGAGGCGTTTTCAATTAGGCGCACCAAAAGCGCACGAGGAGCACCTGAGGCGCACAAGAGGCGCTTTTGAAGTAATTTTCTGCCAATTATTTTAACTGTTTATACAGTGCGCCTCACTTCAAAGAGGCACACTGAGGCGCACCTAGGCGCTGCAAAACCCTTATCGCCTTAGTGCGCCTTGAGCTTTTTTATACATTGATACATCTCTTCACAACTTTTTTTCACTGAAGTTAAGATAGAGTACTAAGTATTAAAAAGCTGCATCAACTAAAGTTACAAATCCACAATTTGCACTCCAGTTAAGGATTTATAAATAGCTGAGAACATTCGCTAAGAGAACATTAAAGGAAGGCTTTCTTGACCATTTCTTGGTGTGATTGACTGAAAGTACACATATTTAGGACACTTCCCTAAAGGAAACTTAGTATCAATTACCTCTAGTAAAATTTTTCTATAAGTGAAACCTTGCAATATGAATTTTAAACATTAATTTTAAAAGAAAAACTTCCTCTGTTTTTTTTTTTTTTTTGTATACTTGCAACCTAATGAATTGGAACATAAACCAAGGAAAAGTAGATATGTAGTCAAAATGACTAATTTGCCCATAAGTCTACCTCTCTCTCCTTTTTACTAGCTCCATCAAAACAACAATCAAGCAATTTCTGATTTTCTTCACCGGCCAAAACAGCCTTTCTTCACCCACTTTCTCCCCACCGTTAGAGTTAACTTTAGGGTGTTGGTGTAGTTTCTGGGTGGGTTAGATGCCTTTTAGCATGGAAGAAATGGTTTTTGGTGTGTGAACTGATTTTGACGTGTGGGGGTGGTGTTGAGGGTGGTTTGGCCGAGTGGTTTTCAAGAGTGATTAAGGTTGTTTAAGAGTGGCTTGGGTGATTTTGGCATGGGTGGAGTGTTTATAAGGTGGTTAGGGCCGTTTTGCATTGCATTAGGGGTATTTCGAGTGGGTAGTGTTGTTTTCAAGATGGTAAGATGGTTTTTTGGGGTGGGTAGGATAAACGTTGATTGTGGTTATTCGGGTGGGTCGTGGGAGGCAAGAGGGGAAGGGCTGAGGAGAGACCGGTGGTAGGGAGGGTGTCCAGGCAAGAGCAATGTTGATAATGTACCACATCAAACTTACTTAATATGGCTTGGTTGCAAGTAATTAGAGTTATTAGACATTACCCTTAAAAGAAACGTGTTGTAAGTAAAAAAAAAAAAAAAAAGAGGAAGTACCTTATCAAAACATTTTGTTTTTGAAAAGTGTCATACTGCCATCTTTGCTTATTTATTTTCTTTTCTTTTTTTTTTTTTGATAACGGGCAAATAAGATAAGAGGTAATGTCTAGGCCCACTATTGTTTCCTTCTTGCATGAGCTAGGGCGTGGGCCGTGGACCCTATACCCCTCGCGACCTTATTACAACAAAAATAATCTAACATACTACTCATAGACGAAATTCTTGGGCAAGTCTTCGAACTTCCCATGGCGCAGCTAAAGGAGTCTGGACACCGCCACTGTGCTCTTCGTGCATATCTCAATTCACCAACTTATTTAACGTCCCTTCATGATGCCTTGCTTTATAGCGTTGAGCTCATGTAGTGGCGATATTGCTATGATGTTTTTCCCACCCCTCGCCATTTCAACTTGCCCTTTCTTGATTACCCAGGTATAGCCTCCTGCTACACGCCCCTTTTTAATACTTCTTCTACACACCATCAGTGAAGATAGTCAGTAGGGAATCCTTTACACATCTTCCTACATGCCAGAAAATATCTTGCTTGCTGGGCTCCTTCCCTAACTCTCCATCCCAACCTTACTGCCTTTCAATCTTACCACTGACTCCTGCAGAAGTGCCATGATACGCTTCGAATTCAGGGTATTCCTTCCAAAAGTCACCTCATTTCTATGTAGCCAAATCGCCCGTATCATAGCTGTAAAGTACTTGACTTGCTCTAATGTTGCTGCCTTGAACAAGTACTAAAGAATATTTCGTGTCCAAACATCTAATGGTGGGTCATACCCACCTGTTTGTATTCCCAATGGGCTACAAGCCCAAACTCTTTTTATGATTGAACAGTTCCTAAATAGATGTTCAACTGATTTTGATGAGCTATTACACACCATACACAATTCGCTGACTTCAATTCCTCTCTTTCGCAGATTACTCTTAGCACTCGTGTGAAGAATCTTCCATTCCAGCGCTCCGGGATGTCAAGTTTGCACATCTTCTTCCATACACTGCAGCTCTCCCCCTTGTGGATTGGGCTATTACTAGAGTAATTTCCTGCAATGTCATCCTTCCAAACATCCTCATCCTTCCCCTTATTCGAGCTAGTTGTGGTACTAAGAATATCCCTTACCGTATCAAAGTCGAACATACGCCATATCAAACCACAATTCCACTCCTTTGCTTCAATTATTAGGTGGCACAACTTCTTATATCTCAGAGAGTCTTCGCCAGCATAGACTCCTTAAACGTAATCCTACCTATTTTCAGCCAGGTATCATCTAGGATGCTCTTGTCCCTGCCATTGGAAATACATTTCCCAAACGTAGCTTTTGTCATGCTTCTAAAAGCCATGAATCCTTTCTCGGGGTTTTGTTCATTTTGCAAACTCAATTGGTGAGCATTGGTATTTCCCTTTTAGTACTTTACTCACTAATGAGTTTTCCACTTTATGTATTCTCCATGCTTGTTTATAGAGCAAGTTTGTATTTAACATGAGTATGTTTCTCAGTGCTAAGCCTCCTTAATCTTTCCTTAGCTCCAACACCTCCTTCTTTCTCCAATAGATCGGCCTCTTCTCCATAAAGGGTCCCCAAAAGAAATGTAGGCAAGTCGATGTCAGTTTGGACATAATCTTCTTTAGGAGCATGTAGATAGATAGGATGTGAGAAAGTATGGCAATTAGGATGGAGTTTGTGAGGACAAGTTTGCCGGCTTGGGAGAGGTTTTGGAATTTACACGACAAAGAGGTTTTGGAATTTACACGATAGAATCTTCTGTTGTGTACATTCCACTAGGAAGTTGAGAGTTCCACATGATCTACCATCGACATCCAAAGGGCAGCCCAAGTAGGTGCCTAATTTTTCTCTTGCTTCACTTGCAGTGGTTTCTTCATGATTCTTTGAACCTACTTGGAGTGTTAGGACTGAAGATCATATACGACTTTTCCTTGCTCACCATTTCCCCACTGATAACGCAAAACTCGTCTAGGCACTTGTTGATGGCAGCACATGAGTTTATGGAGGGCTTGAAGAAGAACAAAGCATCATCCGCAAAGAACAGGTGGGTAATCGGTGGAGCATTTTTGTGGACCTTTATGCGTGTTAGTGTGCCCTCCCTTTGTAGGAAGCTCACCTTTCTTGACAACACCTCCATGCATAGGATGAAAATATGTGTTTGGATAAATCTATTTTTGGAGAGTGATCCAAAAAGGAGACAGCAAAGAAAAAGGAATCTAGTGAATTAGGAAAGCTGGTTGGGTTTTTAAGCACTGATTTATGTGGTTGTTGGGGTTTTGAAATTAATGCATCAAAATGGGATAAGTTTTGGGCCTTAGGAAAGGTTTAATCATCCTACCAAGCTCATCCCATGACTCAAAAGAGAAGTCCGAATCATTGGAATAAATGAAATTAGGAGCCGAGAAACGCTTACCTCCAGAAATTGGATCACTTTGCTTGAAAAAACTGGTAGAGCCCACCGGCCCATTAACGTCCCAAATAACACAAGCTGCATCATCCATCTCCAAGAGATCTACGTCCCCTAATTTTGGAAGGAGGAGCTTACTAAGGCTGGAGGGGACCGAGGGGGTTGAAAGCAACAACTCAATGTCGCTGGTTGGGGGAGAAAAATCGAACAGCTTAGCAAGAGAGTTGGGGAGCTCCATGAGTCATGAAAAGGAGTTAAAAAGCTTCTGAGTTTTTTTGGAAAAAACCAAAGGAGTGGGAGTGATGAGTGAGATTGGTTTGTTTAAATAAAGAAAGCCATGGGGTGTGGGAATGTCAACCCGAGTGGGTGGGCAAGCATTAATTCCACTTGAGGGAAGTTTAAAGAGTATCATTATACCTCAAGAACTTCTGTTCTTACTTGAAACAGAAATAAACCTGTCAGTCGTACCATTTGAAAAGGCGGTCAGATAGAAGAGTCCTGAAATACCAAAAAGCCCTTATCAACCCGGACCTCATGGGTATTAGTAAGGGCAATTTTGGGAAAACTGCTAAGAAAACCCGGTTCATAATCTTCTACAAGATTTTCTCCCTCCCGTTTTTCTGTCTTAAATGTTGCATTAGTCTTAGTCTTTTCCGACTGTCTCCCGTCTTCGAAGCAGAATAAATCCGGGCTCGGCTTCCGCTTTTCTGGCGGATCATTGGAGAAATAGTGAAATTTCACTGTGCTTTAAGGCTAACTTGCGATGGTGCTGGGGTATGCGGGCTATGTTGCGGTTCTCTTTCTTTTCCGGATTGGCTTTCCTTCTCGGAGTTGTCTACAATGTCACCCTCCTCACCTCCATTTTCCCTAGCAGCACCCGCATTACCTTCGTGAGGATCTGAGCTATCTTCACTCGATTCCTCTACATTTTCCATGGCATCATCTTCATCGTCATCATCATCTTCTTGTCAACCTCTTTCGCCGCCGCTATTACTATCAGAGCTTGACGATGATTCAAGATCCCACCCATTTTGGATTTGCTTGACCCATCACAGTATCTTCCTAGAGTTAAATCAATCAATCTGGTTCTGTGCCTTTCTACGCTCTTTAGCCTAATAAGCTTTCATGTAAACAAAGGCTTGTACAACGAACTAATTTTCAAGCAACCATCCCCGTTGCACACTCGCATCATCGCAACTTCGATCTCCTTACTTTTGTTGGACAGTGGTTTCCTTTATGACCAATCCTGCCACAAATGCTAAAGAAGACAAACATTCCTTCATATCGAAAACTAACCCATTCGAAATTACCCATGGCATATTTAAAGTAGAAGCCAGGGATGAGTGGTTTGCTAATGTCCACCCCATACTCTAGCTCGAATGACACTACGGACAGGATTTTTTAAGGAGTCCTCATCATAGAAAAGTACCTTTTCTAGCCTTGCAAAAGCCCTGCTTGCCACCTTAATGTTGTTGTAATACAGAGAAAAGCCTGCAACTTTTACCCAGATGTACGTGGAATCAAAAGGCATTGATCGCATCGCATGTCCTATTAAGCACATTTTTAGGACTAGGAGTGCTCCTTTAGTTCGTCACCCCGTTCCTCGCCAGCGCTTTGCAATCATCCGAATTTATGAACTTAAACAGGAACACATCTTTAACCTTTTCAATAGTGACTAGGCCTTTAGTTCTCCAATTCGAGAAAACCCATGCCCAGATTTCCTCCCTTGAGAAGTCCTTGTTTCTCTAGTCTTTAAACTTCCCCACGACCATTTTACCTGCATGAGCTTTTAGTTTTTTATCTGCTGTTGGCCGAATTATAGGCCCCATTTGGCGGATATTAGAGAACGAAAACGGGTTTCTGTTTGGTGAAAATCTTCAATAAAGGGAAAGAAAAGAGAGTAGAATAAGAAAGGAAGAGTTTGAAAGAGAGAGTAGAGAAGTGATGAGAAAGAAAGGAGAAGACAGGGACATAGGAAAAAGGGGGTTTAGAGAGAGATGCTCTAGAAATCTAGAGAGAGAAAAGGTATACTTGTGTTGTGTGTTCATTTTCTTAGTGATCACAACATTAAAACTGATAAATGACCTGATCAATTGTTAGTCGGTCATCACTTTGTTGCTAAAGGGCAGTATGGTGATTGTTATATTTATACGAAAAATCTAAAAATAATTAAATATATAGAGTACTTTATTTTAAAATCTTAGCAGAATTACCATATAAATGGTATTTAGGTGTAAAAAATATCAATTCATCTGTTTGAACATGATCCTTTATGTCACCTTAGTAATGGTAGTTATAATAAGGAATGTTATTTAATAGGATATCCAAAAACAGAAAGTTGGCAACTCTTTAGTTCAAACAAACATAAAATTATCTATATTAACACCCCCAAATTCCAAAAAAAAATATAAGAAAAAAATAGTGCTTTATCATGAAACATTTTGAGCAAATACGATGATATTGTGGTGTGTTAGTGTTCAACTAGACTTGGTGCTCTAAAAAAATAGTAATTATGTAAGGTTTACTACAAATTGGCTAAAATTCTTTCAAGTGCACTTTTGGAGAGAGAGAGATTCATTGAATACAGTAATCATTAAGTACCTTGACTGGTATTTTTACCCCTCCAAAAGCATCCTTGTTAGTTTGAATTCTCAGTGACCTACACCAGACAGGATAACATGCAGTTAATTAAGATACCCCTTATTTAATCTATTACCAATAACCAGCTTACATTTCAAAAAATCAAACATAAAAGGAACATCACTCTGGACAATACAGAATTTAAAAGCATGTAAGCAGAAAATTCTTGAAGGTGTTACTTTCATTCATAAGAGTAAAATGAAGAAATGTGGGGAGGGGGGCGACTAATCAAGCATGCACATATAAACAAACACACAACTCATTAACATCAAAAGCTCCAGCCTCCAGGTGTGTAGTAAAAGTAAGTTATACTTATTTCAGCCTATCATGTAAGAGTAGAAAAGGTTATTCATAATCTACAAAGATGAACTTTCAATTAGAGAGCTTCCTAGACTGACATCTTCACCAAAAAGCTATTTAATGGAACTGGTATGCTATCTTGTCCTAATGAATTATCACACTAAACTGAGAAAAATCTAACATTGCACTCTAATGATTAAACAGCATAAACAACAGCATATTCATCATAGTTCCTAAACCACTGAGAAGCTGAGATTAAAGCAAACAACAACATAGAGTCGTAACTAAAGAATCTAATTAAGCTAATTTTCAATAATCATGCCAAGAGGCAAGAGCATCCAAGAAAAACATCTATCATTGCTAACTTTTTGACCTCTACCTGATATCACACCTAGTCTGACCACTAAACAAGAAGAAAAAATGACAGGTGAAATTTGGGTTTGACAGAACAAAAGAGGCAGCAAAAGTTTCCTTCAAACTTCAGACATAAACCAATGCAGAAAATAACATGGAAAGGCGCTATAGGTGCCAAAAAAATTTTAAATAATAACATCCAGAGGTAAAAGGTTTCCTGCAGTAATACTCACTTTGTTGGGAAGTTGTCATTCACTTTTTCCTTTGAAACTTTGCCACTGAGATTGCTCATTTGGGGAGCTAATTTTCCACCAACCTTAGCTTTTACTTAGGCATTAAAGAGAGTAAGTTAGAATCTTTCCATACATTATACCTATATGTTCAACCAATGGAAATTTACAAAGTACTATACTCACTTGGGAAACCAATTTTTTTTGTAGACTTCTCCTCACTCGTTTTGTCTACCTGTCATACAAGTATATACCAGTAATATTATATCACGTAATTTATATATAATGTTAAAACTTAAAGGAAAGCCATGACATCTCTATATGTATCGCTATTACTTGACATGACGTTGTGACATGTCATGCGCACACATTACCTAATATTGTGTCATCACCAAAAAAAAAAAAAAAAAAAAAAAAAAAAAAAAAAAAAAATTGGTTTCAGCACTCAAAGTCATGACCTCACGTTCATTTATTTAAAATCTTAACTACCATTGATAGAATTTATGACTCTGAAAAGTCTGAATCACTCAATAAAGAGAAAGGACTATTTATAAATATTACAACTTTAATACCTAAATAACTTCTTTATTTACTTAAATAATACATTATTTTTCTTATAGTTATTAAAATCATAAACAAAACTTAGGTAAATAGGTAACTGGAAAAGGAATAGGAAAAAATGTTGCAATCTTTAGATAACCAAATCTGTTATGCGTTTCCTAATTTACATAATTCTTTTTAAACAATGCCCATTTTTTAAAAACTTATGTTCAATTTCCAGGTTAAGATAAATTTTATAAGCTACATGTGGAATGCAAAAAGAGTCATTTTCTATACAAACAAGTAAACTACTTCAAAATGTAGAAATAATTGTTAGGTAACCAATTTGTATTTTAACATCACATAACTCGAAATTTAAAATTTTATTTTTCACCAAATACAAAAAATAATAATGTAAACTACATACAACTATACAAGTATACTCTGACTTTTATTCTCATGAGAAGCAACAGTAGAAGCTACCTTTATGTCACTAGAATCCAGCTGACTAGCCTTCTTCATCACTGGAAAAGACTTCCTTTAAATCATGACATGAGCAAAACAGATAATGAGAAAGGTTGCATCAATATAACAGAAGGAAACTTGCAGGGAGTCAAATCACAAGTTTCATGAAAGCAACAAACCTTGTAATTGTATTACTATTCTTAGAAATCTTCCTGATGACAAAAAGGGTAATAAAAAAATATGCATTATGCTACAGCTTATGAGAATAGAAACAATTAATTGTATAAACAAGTTCGTAGTTTGTCAAATAGAATATACAAGGCACAAAAGAGCCAAAACCTGGTTATGTTTTCCATAGTTTCATTCACTTTGACCCTGTGGAAATTTGAAGATGCCCTTTGAGCTTTGGTGGTAGCTGTAGCCACTAAAGCACAGGATAGCGGTTACTAAAAAAGAAGACATGGTGATAGTACCATATAAAACTACAAATTAATTCTTACCTTTTACAGCAGTGTTTGAGACGGAAACACCTCGAGTTAAGTTTCCCTTAAGATTTCCCTGTTCAAAGATAGAGTCAAAGTTGTAGAAAATTTTGAGAACCAGTTCTGTAAGATTATGAGGGATAAGGAAAAGGACGCAAGGGATAAGGAAAATGACTCACTTATAACTTAGTCATTTTTCCCTTTATGATATTCATAAACACGGCATAATTTTCTAACCCCAACCCCCCCCCCCCCAACAGACACACACCTCCCCCGAAATACCCAATATGCATGCTCCTACATAAAATCTCCTTTCTCAGAATTGGCTGCCAAAACGGCATTTGCAGAGACAGATTAATGCAGAAGGCAGAAGAGCTAAAATGGCCATAGCCCTTAAACTGTAAAACTGCCGGAGAATAGAAAGGTCTAAATTCTCGGACTGTAGCCTTATGTAGAGCTTTGAGCAGTATGAGCATACAATGATAAAACATATACTACGTAAATTGATCTTTTCGCATTGCATATCACGCTATTCCTTTTCTTTGGTAAAACCATAAAACAATACATGGTTTCTTTGGATTATTATGGACAAAAATAGAAAATTGGATCATTACATTGTCTATGCTTCATACATTGGGTAGTAGACTATAGTAGCTCTTTAGATTAAGGGTCAATTGGAAATAGTCACTCCATTATGCAATGGTAAGATTGCATAATGGAAAGATTCCATACATGTGTATCCCTTACCCAAGCTAAAATATGAAACCGTGTTTCAGACATCGGAAAAATATTGAGTTGATACTTGAAAGTAATATATAATGTTCATTAATAGTTCAATATAAAGCCAACAACGAGAATTTTTAGGAACTTTCAATATTAAATATGCCAACCTAAAGCAATAAGACCATTCAAAGTAAATTAACAAACAATTGGCATACCGCTTGAGATCGACTAGACGAAGAAGTATTAGTAAGAGTGCCAAAAGCCACTGAATTCCTGAAAAATTTATTACAGTTAGTGTATTCAACTATGTTTTCATTCCCATACACATTAGAATTCTTCTCTTTATAAATTCAAGATGACAAAATAGATTTGCAGATAGAATAACCCACTTTAGATATTTGAGAAAGGTTTGTCAACAAACATATAATTGCATTATAATTTTTGCTGAACCTTCAAACAACAATTGACAATGCAAAAGCAAAGTTGGCATAGCCAGGATACCTATACAACCAAGTCAAAGGAATGTCCTTTTTGAACTTTTTTGTATACTTTAAGCCTGAGGCATTTTGATGTAGTCAGCAGAAAAAATATTTACTTGTCCATACCGAATTTTTTTTAATTTAAGTGAGTTACTAGCTTATTAACCACGAGAATAGAGAAAAACCCCCATATAAAGTACAACTGATCTCTTTTTGTCCATTTAATACGATTACAACATCCAACAGATTTTGTAAAAACAATGCTAGCCATGAGTCGCGCTCACCTCGAACCACTTAGTTTCTCAAATCTAGATGATTGCCTCCGTATATTGCTGACATCAGCCAATGCTTTTCTTCCAACCTTTGTCTTGTCTGCACTAAAAGCAAAGTGTGTCAAAGAACAGAAAACAGAAAAGTTATGTCATACATGTAGCCAAAATCCATACCAAGAGCACCATGGCAGCTTCTAGTTAACTCAGCACCACTGACTTGGATCTTTGTCTTGAAAACAAAGTACCGAATGCATAAGCACAAATATTACCTAAGTAATTTCAGCAGCAAATACATAAACGAGCAAGGCTATTTAATACCTTAGTCCCAATGGTACTAGGCGGTGCAGTCGCCTTCTTTTTTGACACAAGAGATGTTCTCCTGTCACACAAAAGACCATATAATTCATGATGAATCTATCCAAATCTACCACATTATCGAAGATTTTGTTCTTAATAAATCCACTAGCCCTAAACTAAACAAATCAATTGTCTTAGTGTTCTCAATCACACATACTACGACCACAACAACAACAACAAAGCTTTAGTCCCAAAATGATTTGGGTTCGGCTAATATAAATTGTCATAAGAAATGGCACGGTTAAAGAAAAGGACATAACAAAATAATCATTTGAAACAGTTTGAAAAAGGTGAGTAAAGAGTTAACAAAAATGAAAAAGACGGAACTTACGGAAGCTTAGCATCGGCATCGTCGCTACTACGGCCATTAACCGTCTGTCTATCCGAATAAACCTTAAATTTACTCATACCAACTGTCCCAAGAACAATACAACAAAATGCAAATCAATAAACTACTATACTTCACTAGTTCACTGAAATGTTAAAAACACAAAAATGAACAAACGACACAAATACATTACCATTCTTAGTAGTTCCCCAATTCTCTGTAGTCTTGATTTGCCGAATAACAGTTTTTCCCTTCAAAAACACAATAAATATTAAAATTTTCAAAAAAAAAATCAAATTAGTACAAAAATTAGGGTTTATGAAAACCTTGAGAAGCACCATTTTTGCTGCTTCTTCTGATTCTTCCTGCTCTCTTCAATCGAAATAAACAAAAATGTATAAGAAAAATTGCAGTAATTTGTAATTTTAGATTCAAAATGTAAGAAATTGAAATAAAAATTATGATTTGTGTACCTTGATGAATAGAGCTAGATCATTTCTTTTCGTTAAAATTAAATTATCTTATCTTTCTGAATCTATGCTTTCGAGAATTGGCGGAGTTGAATTTTGAAAGAAGATGAATATTTAGAAGAATATAAATCAGATGCCCATAAATGAAAATGCCCGCCTTGCTTTAGTTTTTGAACCCCCACATGAAAAAATATACTAACATATTCACTTCACAAAATTTTAAGATAAAACAATTTAATGAATAATAATTAATTTACTTACATAGTCCATGTCTTAATCATGCATTTTTAACCTCTTAAAATAATGATATCTACTTTAAAGATATTCAATCCCTACCTTAAATTTTTTTTTTTTCTCATTTCTACTTGAGTCACTGGCCACCTCATTTTAAAAATGATTAAACTCTGTCCACTATTCAATATATACAACGCTTTTTCTGTGTGACTGGCACGACTGACACACGCCAAAACACGAGTTGTTAGTATATAAGCAAATTAAACGGAAAAACTTATATCAATGTTGTGTAGACCAATTGACAATTGTTGCGTCGTGGTAAACCACTGACCTAAAAGACGATTCCGCGTTACCCCGGTGCAGTAAACATCAAGCGGGCGCACTCCAGGATAAGCACGGCGCCGAAATTTGTGTGCACTCACAAACCCGACTGGAACCGGAATACTTGCCCAAAAACCGAAGGGATAAATTTAAAGAGGGTAAAAGATAGTCGATTTTTGTGTGTCTTATGGAAGCAAGGAAACATGAATATATATATATATATATGTGTTTTAAGAGGTTGGAGCATAGCTTATAAAGCATAGGAATAAGGGTAAAACCATCAGTCATTAAAGGCATAAATGCCATACTTAATCAACATTAACTAGCCATTAAAAGAACTAATAAATGGGTAATTCAAGGGAGCATAATTACTGGCTATTAAGAGCAATCTCAACAGCCACACACAATTAATTATGTGACTTTCCTTGTTTAACATCAAGAACTTCCAACAATCCCCCACAGGTTCGAAGATGTGAAAAGAAAGAAAGAAAATTGGTTTTGGGCAAAACAAAACAATTGCATAAGTGTCAATGTCTCGCGACTTGAATTAACACATAGTGGACATCAAGCTATGAACCCTCACCTACCAAGTGACCTTCGTCTTGAACTTAATAGAGAGTTAGGGACCCGTCACTTTGACCACACAATTGAACATGTATAATATTCTAAAATTCCGCGAATAAAAGTGACACATTATACTGGCCATATGTCCAGCCTGGATGCTCATAGGTGCTCTAGAGTATAAGCCCACGAAATAATCATAGGAAGCGGCCACACTTCCACACCTAAGTAGGTGAACTCCATCAAGTGTGAGCTACAACACACCTCCAAAAATATGGATATGGGTTCATTAAGAGTCATATGCTCAACCTCCTTCTCATTTGTAGCTAAGCACAAACAAACATCTAGAGATGGACAAATAAAATAAAAATGTGCTTCCGAATTATTACATAATGTTCCCCTTTGAACTCATGGTGAGTAGGAGTTCACTATTTCACAATTCATACAACGGGCTTTAGCCCCATCTCTTCCGATGTTTTCAAAACTAGTTTTTTTTTCATAGGCCTTTAGTTAACGGATCTGTAACATTTCTTTTAGACTTTATGTAGTGTAGTGATATCACCCCATTCGACAAAATTATCTTTGACATCAACTATTATAGGCATGTTTCAATCAAAAGTAACCACAACTTGCAAATCATAACAAATTCTCCTACAATGGGATATTTGCAAGTACATTTGCTCATAAGAGCCATATACTCTTGACCATCTTGCCTCATAATCGGCCTGTCAATTTAAGAGAAATAAATTAGATTATTCCAAAACAAACATAGCAAAACAAGGCTTCTTTGCACAATTTCCAAAACATAGCTCCACCACTTAGTGGTGCAGACATAACCGCTTGAGTTTGAACTCTTCGTCAAACTCTAAGAACTCATGGAAACTTGCAATAGTGCAACCTCTAATCTTGTGTACTTTTCAAGTACATATGCAACCTCCTCAAAACAATCTAATGATCATTGCTCGAGTTAAGAGTATACCTGCTTAATCTACTTACATAATAAACAATGTTAGATTAAGCATAGTTCCCAAGAAACATAACACTACCAAATGGACACAAATTGCTCCCATATAATCCATAAATTCAAAAAATTTATCTAATAGCAATGACTCATCCAACAAGTTTAGCCTTATGGAGTTCATTCCAACAAAATCCTTAGGAAATAAATCAAGCATTACAATCCCAAGAAAAAGATTGTCAAATCCTACACATAGTTAGACATAACCTAACTCATATTCAATGACTTCTTCCACGGAATCACTCACTCATGATATTCCACTGATTTAAAGTAGATACTCTAAAGACATATTGATATCAAAACAAACTTGTAAGGCAAACACCATCAAAAACCGTCTTTAGCACAATTAATCACTTTCGGGCTTCACATTAAACACTAGAAAAATCTAACATTAATGTGCATATCTAATCACTTGAAACATAGTGCTAACACACATATATGCCAAAGACAAATAATCCATATAAAGGACCAATCAGACTCGGAATAAAAATTACTCCAAGACTCGCCTACAAAGTCATGAACTAAATGCAATTACTAAGCAGAAACCGAGTCAAGACTTTGAGTCCAACACTAATTCTTTATTACTTCCCCCACATTGGACAACAAAGTCCGATTCAAAACCCTTACCAATGCACCCACATTCTCAATGAATGAAATATTTGGACATGAAAACTCCCTCCAAAATTCATATGGGATCTTTAACATAAATTTCTTATTAAGAAATAGCATAAGTTTATACCCCCACATGAAAACATAAGGTCCAAATCCCAAAAATAAAGCATAGTCAAATACATGATTGAGAAAAAACTCATAACTATGTCATAGGACTTGGGTGTAATAACATATAAGGTGGCAAGGGAGTAGAGATAGATCTTTGAAACATTGAATTAATCAAAGAAAATAATTCAACAATACTTCAAGATATTAATACTTATGCCACCGTATAAAATTCAAAGCATTTACAAAAATTGCACAAACTTTATTCATTAAAAATTATAATACAATAAAGAGTCCGTCATAGGCGATAACAACAAACCATCATAAAATATTGGAAAAATCGTAGTCTAATTCCCAAAATACTTTACTAAAGAATTCTCCAAAGAGAAAGTCATCTAATATCCTTACAGAAAAATTATCACATAATTTCCCTTCACAAAACTCAACAAGTTTGAGAATTATAAATTCTACACATGCTAATGAAATACCGAAAATAAAGTAATGAAATCAATTGAGTTATGAATAAAGCTTCTCAATACGAGTATTGCATATCATGGATTCAAGAAATTGACATAATACTTCTCAATTCCATTCTCAACACATACATGAATCATGATAAAAGTAGTACTTGGAGTACATACATGCACCTCAAAAAAATGTTAAAAACATTGCTCAAAAGCATCCTACTAAATAACAAGTTACTCCACAAAATGTAGAACCAACAAATTAATGGTAATTGATTATATGTAATATAATTTCATACTCATGAAATATGGACATTATAACTTTTACTTTCTAATAATCATTCAACAAATATTTAATTGAAAAATTCAACATTCAACATACTTTGTCAATAGCCACAAAAGCATATATTTGTTAAGATGATTACTAGGAATTAAACCAAATGATAAACATAACAACATGAGACTTGGTTTAGAATGAACCTCCCTTGAATTAAATCAAGTAACATGTGTGAGACCTTTATGAGATGCCCAACCGTCTTCGTTGCAAATAAAGGGCCTCAAGATGTCATCATAACTCACTAATCTGAGCAGATAATGAGAATCCAACAGTTGAAAAATAAGCCTCATGTACCCCAAACATACTCCCAAAATTTCAGCCCAAACCGACCAAGGATGACCTTTGATCGGGGGTCATCTTTGGGACTGCTCCCAGAAATCCGCGAATTACAAACAAGTCCTAAAGTCTCAAAAATATAGCTTATTAAAGGAATTAGAGAATATCAACAAAAACTCCACAAAAAAAATGAGATTTAGGAAACATTATAACACTCTGTCATGTTATCATATAAGATTGCAACTAGTTATATTGCAGCGTATACTCAACAACATAATATCATTAGCCAATTAAAAATAAAGTAACCCATATTACTGCATTAGTAAGATCACATTTTCACAAATGAGTAAAAATAAAATACTCAAAATAAGCACAAGAAGTGCTAAATCACCAAGAATGTTACAACTACCAAATTTTCTCCTTCAATAAAATCACAATCCTCAATAAGTCAGTAAGCAATTATATGCAAAATACATCTTTACAAAAGATAGTATACAAGTATAACAACAAAATTGAATAATAAAAAACATAATTAACAAACATGCCTTGTCATTCAACTAGATGAATAAGATGATAAGTAGTCATCAACACAATATTCTGAGCAATACTTAAATACTAGCTTAAATATCAAAACAAGATTACATGTACTAAATTAAAACCGCCTCACCAGCTCCATTACGGGGCTCTTTGTAATAATAATCGAAGTGCCGAAGTTTAGGCATCATTGCCTTAATATCAACCCCATGCTCATATACTAAAATTTTGTCTCAACGACTCAACGTCCAACACTAACGTATAAAATACACATTATATAATATACCAAATTAACAATATGATGAACCCACTAAATAATTAGTGAGGAAAATCAACTCAACGCATCATACAAACACAAACCAAATTAGAGATGACAATATCCTATAGGAATTTGAAAAACATACAGTAATGTAACTCAATTAATTATGGAAACTATTTTCGTCATTCGTCTAACAACATACATGCTTAACAAAAATTGCTCCAAATAAAAACATATCATAATTAATATGTCAACATTCACAACTCTTTATAATAAAAGACTTAATATGACATATCAAGCTAGAATCAAATATCTGGAAGCAATAGATCGTATTTTAGATTGTTAGTATATAAGCAAATTAAACAGAAAAACTTATCTCAATGTTGTGTAGATCAATTGACAATTGCCGCGTCGTGGTAAACCACTGACCTAAAAGACGATTCTGCGCTACCCTGGTGCAGTAGACATCAAGCGGTCGCCCTCCAGGATAAGCACGACGCCGGAATTTGTGTGCACTCACAAACCTAACTGGAGCCAGAATACTTGCCCAAAAACCGAAGGGATAAATTTAAAGAGGGTAAAAGATAGTCGATTTTTGTGTGTCTTATGGAAGCAAGGAAACATGAATATATATATATATATATATATATATATGTGTGTGTTTTAAGAGGTTGGAGCATAGCTTATAAAGCATAGGAATAAAGGGTAAAACCATCAGCCATTAAAGGCATAAATGCCATACTTAATCAACATTAGCTAGCCATTAAAAGAGCTAATAAATGGGTAATTCAAGGGAGCATAATTATCGGCTATTAAGAGCAATCTCAACAGCCACACACAATTAATTATGTGACTTTCCTTGTTTAACATCAAGAACTTCCAACACGAGTAACCCTTGACCAAGTAACCCCAAATTGACTGAGTGACCCTTGACCAATCGAATAACCCTTGACTAAGTAACCCCTGACTGATCAAGTAACCCCTGATCAAGTAATCTCGGCAACACGGTGTAGCCAACCAAATATGAAACTTTGTGAACTCGATATATGGTTGGAAAAATAATTTATATTATAAAACAACATGATCATTGTATTAATAATGTATTTCGTATATATTACAAATAATGTCATATCTTATATCTCTATGGCCTCTAAAACACTTGAAATTTAAAATGTAACTTCTAAAAATAGGAAACACTTGAAGTTACCCTTAACTCCATAAAGAAGCCTTAAACAAATTACACGAGTATGTTAGCCCTGACCAAACTCCTTAAATAATCTTGACCTAGTAACTCGAATAACCCCTAAAGTAACCTTAGAACCGAATGAACCCCTCGAGTAACCCCTGTCCGAACCCCTTAAGTAACACATGATCGAGTGATTCGAGTAACCCCTGACTGAATAACTCAGGTTACCTCTAACAAACTAACTCGAGTAACCCCTGTCACACGGTGTGGTCTGCTGCACCAACAAGATGTTGTAGTTTTTGTAATCCCCCATATTTTCCTAATATAATTATTTATTATTTATACAATATTTTAATTTTAGTTTTATAAGTATGGATTATTTAATGTAAAAGCAATACAATTTTCTTTATTAATAAGTTAAAATTACTAAGTTTTTATTAAAATTACAGGCCTCTCCTTAACTTAGTGGCCCAAATACTTAATTCCTACCCAAACCCAAATTACCCAAAACCCACTCCTAATAAAACCTAAATAAAACACAAAAACCCTCACCTCCCTTTCTCCTCTTCTACGTGAAACAAAGGGAAAAGAAAAAAAACAAAAACAAAACCCCAAGCTTGGAGCCGAGCACCTGCACCGCCGCTGCCCCCATCGACGCGCCACCTGCCGCACCTCCGGCCACCAGCAACCCCCTTTGTGTAGTAGTCGCACCTCTTTCTCCCTTTTTTCACTTCTCTTGTTTTGTTAATTTTGATTTAAAGCTTCAATTTTTATTTGGTTTCAATTCTAAATTATTGTTATTATAGTTTGATAGTATGTTTAAATTATAAAAGATTATAAATTTATGAGTTTTAGCATGTTTAAATTATTATATAAAATTTCAGATTATATATGTTGTATAATTTAGGGTTTAAGCCTTATTTTTTCATGTTTTTCGGCTTGATAACGTACTAATCAAGTTACCTAATTATTCAATGTTTAAACTACATCAAAGTATGATTATTTTAATTATATATTAATTTTCAGATTATATATTTTGGGAAATTTGAGTTTTATGCTGTTTATTTGAAGGGTTTTAAGGTTTTAATGTGTAAAATACTATTCTAACTATTGAATTATGAATGTACATCTTTAAAAGTTTGAAATTTATAATACAAATTATTTTTCAGATTTTATATAATCTGATTTTTATTAATTTTGAGCCAAAAATAAAGTTTTAGAATGCTTCTATACGTTTTAAACAATTATTTATGCAATATGATAAGTATAGATTATTTGAATTTCAAAAACTATTAATAAAACAAATTTTCAGCATATGTTAGTAAGTCAAACTTGCTGTAATTTTATATTATACGCTATATTTTCATGATTTTAACATATAAACTTGGAAAAATTAGAAAAAATAATCCCAACTTTCTTCAATTTTCGTTGAATAATCCAAACTTTCATTTATTCTGGAATAATCTGAACTTTGGGGGGTCTTCTTTTTCTTCAATCCCAAACACCGGTTACCGATTGAACGGGTTTCTTGGTTTTTTTTAATTTAAAGTGACACGTGTCACGCGTTAATTGGTTAAAAAAAATAAAAACAAAAAAATTAAAAATAAAAAACAAAAAAAAAAAAAAAAAAAATCAGCAAAACCCCAAATCCGGCCACCCTGCGCCGGTGATTCGAGCCATCTCTGGCGGCTGCTGCTACTCCCCTCCCCTCCCCAAACCCCGACGCTGGTTTCCCCCCTCCCCTGCGCCGGTTTCCTTCCCCCCTCCCCTACGCCGGTTTCCCCCTCCCCCAACTCTGGTGATGCGACCCAGCTTCCTCCTCTCCATTTCCGCCGCCACCACCAGTCGCAACTCCTTTTCCAGCCACCACAAGCACTCAAACTTCCTTTAAATGTCTCCCCAACTCCCGAAAACCTATAAACACCCTTCCTCCACCATCGAAAATCCTAGCCGCTAGGGCTTTCGACGGTGAGGAAGTGGTTGTTGGGGGTTTACGGGAGGGGTTTCGAATGGAAAAGGAGGAGATTAGGGGTGGTGGTGGGTCAAAACGCCGGCACAGAGGGTTTGGGGGGAAAGGGGTGCACATTTTGGGCAGGGGAAGGGAGGGGTTGGCGCGACTGGCGGTGGCAGTTGGTGGGGGTGGTGGGGGTTACGGTGGCAGGCAGGGTATTAAGGGTTTTTTGGTTTTTTTTTTTTTAAAAAAAATTATTTTTTTTAAAATTAAATTATTTGTTTTTAGACCAATTGCAGCTTGACACGTGGCACATAACCTATTACAGCAGGTCATTGACTTTCGTTGACAGGTTTGGGATCCAATTTTTACACTTAAAATATCGGGGAGCAAATTAACCACAGGTTCTTACACATGCAACATCTG